ACAAACAGTTAATAACCAAAGTCTACAAAGAACTAAAGTTGATAAATTAACTCCCAACAAACAGTTAATAACCAAAGTCTACAAAGAACTAAAGTAAATCAACTAGGAAAAACAAACAACTCCATTAAAAAAAATGGGTGAGAGACATGACAGAAGTTATTCAAAAGAAGATGGACAAATGGCCAATGAACATATGAAAAACGATCGATGTCACTATCAAAACCACTGTGAGATATTACCTTACCCCAGTTAGAATTGGCTGTATTAGAAAGTCCAAAAACAGTAGCTGCTGGCATGAATGTGGAGAGAATGAACACTATATACATCAAAACTGCAAGTCAGTCCCACCTCTATGGAAAACAGTGTGTAGATTCCCCAAAGAACTAAATGTAGACCTACCATTTGGTCCAGCAATCCCACTACTGGGCATTAACTCAAAGGAAAGAAGTCATTTTATTTAAAAGACACCTGCACTTCAATGTACATTGTAGCAAAGTTCACAATTGCAAAGATATTAAGTCAACACAAGTGCCCATTAATTCATGAGTGCATTAACAAAATGTGGTCTATATAGAATACTACTCAGCCATTAAGAAGGATGAATGAAGGCCTTTTGTGACAATTGGATTGGAACTGGAGAAGATTAATCTAAGTGAAGGATCTAAAGAATGGGAAAAAATACCACATGTATTCACTATTAAATTGGAACCAGACAATGAGCACACATGTGCACAGAGGGAAATAAAACTTATTTATTTTAATTTAGTGGGAATCAAGCAGGGGAGAATGGGGATTCACCAAGGGGTTAACCAAGAAAAAAACAAGTATAAGATGTAGAAAATAGCAAATCCAACATTGGAGCAATGGAAGACAAAATCATTTTATGGAATAGACCTAAATGACACCACCTGTCCCAGTGGGGGTAGGCAGGAGATCTGAAGGCTTTAGTGAGGGAAAATGTAATAGCTAAAATATAAAAATTGGGGGTTTATACTCTGGAGGCCAAAGTTGGTAGGTATCTTGAGCCCAGCAATTCGAGGCTGCAATGAGCTATGTCTGGGCCACTAAACTTCCACTTGGGCGACACATCCATACGCCTTCTCTATAAAATTAAAATGAATAAATAAAAATATATTTAAAAGATTTTAAAACTTCTGTTAGAGATCTCAAAGACTTATGAGCAGTAAAGACAAATAATTAAAATGGGAAAAATGAATTTATTATTAATTCAAAGAACAAAAATAGTGCCAGAAAGGAAATGAAGGGCTAATGGCATAACACCCAGGTTACAGTTGATAATATTTACACAGTTATACTAATTCAAAAGCTAATTATTAATATGACCAATATTTTTAAAGTTAGTATACTGGAAGGAAAAAAAGAAGGGGGAAGTGAGGGCAAGACGGTAAGGAGTTACAGAAGAGGATTCAAGTGGGCCAAATTATTATCTTTAAAAGTAGGAAGTCCAACAATGAAATTGACATCTCAATAATTAGCAGAATAAGCACATATTCAGAAATAGGAAAATAAGTCCCAGAAGAAAAAGAGATAAAACAAACTTGGAGGAAAGTTCAAAGATGAGTAATTTTTTTTGCACACATGACACAGGTTAATGTGAATGTGTGAATTAGGGAATGTGGGGGGCAAGATATTTATTTCATTTTAAGTTCAGTAACACTTAAGTATTCCCCAGGCTTTGGATAAACTCTGTTTCCATGAATTACTTTGATAAACATTCAAAAACCATTTGAAAAAATCCATATGTCTTTTTTTTTTTTTTAAGCGGTTAAATTTTGAATAGCAGTAAACTGAAATCTACTCATTAGAAATTTAATCATGTATTTCAATTTCACGTTTTCTGTCTTCAAGAGCTTTACTACTTAACATATGTAAAATTCTAGGTGTTCTTCATGAAAACATTTATGCCATGCCATAAATTGTAGGGCCATCTCAGACTATAATACCTATAGCTGATTTTTAGATTTGAGACTGTCTACTTAAGTGGGATGGTATTTCATGGCCAGAAAATACTTCTAACATCAACGAGAATATATCATTCATAGAGCGTGACAAAATAACTATTTGAAAATTAGTTTCCACTGATCATGTCTTTGTCAAAAGGACCCTTTTTAAAAATGTAAGTTGAATTTTTAAACTATAAAATTTCAAAGCTCAAACTTACTTAATAAAGAATCAAAATACTAGAAAAAGTGAGAAGATGTTCCTCCCCAGCAATGGGTCTCAGAAAGTAGGTACTTACTGTACTGGAAAAGAACCTTTATTCCTTTCATTATTTTTCTTGCCATTTATAAGTGAGTTACATTTTGTGAACAATTAGATATCATCAGTTAGTATTTTTGTACGATATATCCTAAAGTAAAGATTGAGTTACAAAAGATATTTAGAAACCTTCGGTAGCCACAAAGTGGTTCTGGTAGCCAGATTTATAAAGTAGAATTGCTGCTCTGTGAAAATAAAATAAAGGGAGGTGGAAATGCAGTCAGTTTCATCTTTATAAACATTAGGTCGGAAATGATAGTATCTACCAATGATGAAATATAAAGAAGTTCATTAGAAAGCATGTACTAGGTGTAACTGCACAAAAAACAACATAAAGGAGGCCTCACTATAAATGTCACACTGTTTATTTTATGACCTCGCAGAACAGAAAATCAAAGTATAGAGAGGCTTTCTCAGGCAATACTTGATTTGGGCCATCGCTTGTATATTTCTTCTGGCTTTGGATGTTGGTTTCTTATCAATAATGGAATTTTAGTTTTTCCCTCGACTTAATATTGTACATGTAACCTCTCGGGTCAGTTCTGACTAGTTTACACCATCAGATAAACGTTTCTCAGCTTCCTAAATCAATTCTCCCAGAGAAACTGCCTCTAGACAAATTCAATCTCTGTGGTTGATAGGTATTTTCAAAATAATTTAGAAGTTCTCCCATAACTCCTGACATGTTTAGGGATCCCCAGTAGTTCTCAACATGTCTTTAGGGAAAGTAGAGTAAATATTTCATAACACAGTCTCATTATTGGTAAGTCTAATTGCTTGGATAATGAATTTAAACCCTTTCAATTTCCTCCTGAAGGCAGCCTATACTGCAATAATACTACATTTTTCTATTTCAAAGCTTTTGGCAGTTACAGAAAAATAGGAATGAGTGTTTCTTTAAATAGAAGAGCTGTCCTTGTGGGTTTTCAATGCTAATGTTTAGTGACTACTAATTTCATATCTTACCAGGCAAAACTGTATTTTATTCACTAGAGAGTGGAGCACATTTTGAGACTCTTAAAGAAGATTGCATGAAATTTAAGGGCAAACTGACACTTGTCCGAGCTCTGCAGGATAGAAATTTACATGCATACTTTGAACACTTTTAGTTCTACTACTCAATTCCTTTAATGAATTATGAGATTCTTCCTGGATTTGTCATTTGGGATTTAAAGCTGCTTAGTATCCACAGGGAGCATTACCAGAGATTACTCGGTACTCAGAGTTATTGAAAAGAGCAGCTTGCACTCTGGTAGATGCATAAAGCACCATCTTAACTCTCAGAATGGAATGGAAATCATCCTATGGCTCTTTCCATCCAGTCCCCTTACACAATGGGACGGCAGCTCTCAAACTGTGGCAGGGTTTTCTTGAGGAACCTGTTGAAGACTTTGGTACTACACTCAGGTGTGTCCTGAAGTAATCACCAGAAATAGGGATCTGAACATGCACAGAAGTAGAGAATTATTTTTACTGGCACAGAAAAATAATTAAAAATCACAATGATTTCATGCACCTTCAAAATCACATAATATCTGCAATAGTGCAAACTTTCATTAAGACTCATGTATATCTGTATATACCTAATACACAGACTCCATTTGCGTGTGTGTGTGTGTGTGTGTGTGTGTAGAAACTGGAATGAGACTTTAAGGTATTCTAAGGTAATATTTCATTTCAGGCATTTTTATGATTGATTTGCCCCAATTTTCTGCCACTTATTTTTCTTTTAATCTTACATAGTGGCCTAGTGATAGCTTACTCACTTTTATTTATTTGGTCATCTTCTCTGTTCCCAATTTTCTCCTGCCCAGTGCTTTCTCCACAACTTCTATGCTATAGTTCTAATCAGTTTTTAACCTAGTAACTGAATTCCTCTCACTAAAATGTCCTTCAGCTCTTAAGGTCAAAAGGATATGAATATTATAACAAAAGAGTTTATTTATGGGTCTTTCTTTAATTTTGATTTTATATTTGTATGTATAGTCTTTTAACCATGAGCTAAGACTATGCATATCTTACTTTGAAATGTTAAAAAGTAGAAAACAATTTTTTTTTTTTTTTTT